TGGTGGTGAAGGATGATGGTGGTTGGGCTGGAGGTGGGTGATAATGGGGGAAGGTTAATGGTGGTGGATGGTTATGGGGAAGGTGGTGGTGGTGGTTGGGCTGGAGGTGGGTGATGATGGCGGAAGGTTAGTGGTGGTGAAGGATGATGGTGGTTGGGCTGGAGGTGGGTGATGATGGGGGAAGGTTAATGGTGGTGAAGGATGATGGTGTTTGGGCTGAAGGTGGGTGATGGGGAAGGTTAATGGTGGTGGATGGTTATGGGGAAGGTGGTGGTGGTGGTGGTTGGGCTGGAGGTAGATGATGATGGGGGAAGGTGGAGGATGATGATGGTCGGGCTGAAGGTGGGTGATGGGGAAGGTTAATGGTGGTGGATAATTATGGGGAAGGTGAAGGATGATGGTGGTTGGGCTGAAGGTGGGTGGTGGGGAAGGTTGGGCTGGAGGTGGGTGATGATGGGGGAAGGTTAATGGTGGTGGAGGATGATGAAGGTGAGGATGACCCAAACCCTGATCCTTCTCTCCCCTCCCCCCTCCTAGGAGAAGTGCCTGGACAGCTGCGCCACCAAACTCATCCGCTCCAACCACCGCCTGATGGCAGCATACGTGGGGCTGATGCCGGCTATCATGCAGCGCCGGATGGCGGACATGGAGAAGCAGAACAAGGAGATCGAGGCGCTCGCTGAGCCCAAACTTGGTCATTCCCTGGAGGTAAATCCCGAATTGTTACAGGTAGCTCGGGTATTAGCAAAGCAGTAGAGAAGAAACAAAGGGCACAGACAACTCCAGAGGGGAGGGAGCTGTGTCCTACTACTGAAGGTGGTGTTATAACCCAGAGGTCAACTCGGAGATCTTTGCTGTGTCCTTCAATGGACTCGCGGGATGTATATTTGTTGGATCCGGACTCGTTATTGAGAAAAGTTTCAGAGTTTAATACGACTTTACTGATTGTGAAGGTGGGGGATGGTCATGGGAAAAGGATGAAGGTGGATAATGATGGTGGGAGTGGAGTTGGTCGGGCTGATGGTGGATGGTTATGGGGAAGGTGGTGGTGGTGGTTGGGCTGGAGGTAGATGATGATGGGGGAAGGTGGAGGATGATGGTGGTCGGGCTGAAGGTGGGTGATGGGGAAGGTTAATGGTGGTGGATAATTATGGGGAAGGTGAAGGATGATGGTGGTTGGGCTGAAGGTGGGTGGTGGGGAAGGTTGGGCTGGAGGTGGGTGATGATGGGGGAAGGTTAATGGTGGTGAAGGATGATGGTGTTTGGGCTGAAGGTGGGTGATGGGGAAGGTTAATGGTGGTGGATAATTATGGGGAAGGTGAAGGATGATGGTGGTTGGGCTGAAGGTGGGTGGTGGGGAAGGTTGGGCTGGAGGTGGGTGATGATGGGGGAAGGTTAATGGTGGTGGAGGATGATGAAGGTGAGGATGACCCAAACCCTGATCCTTCTCTCCCCTCCCCCCTCCTAGGAGAAGTGCCTGGACAGCTGCGCCACCAAACTCATCCGCTCCAACCACCGCCTGATGGCAGCATACGTGGGGCTGATGCCGGCTATCATGCAGCGCCGGATGGCGGACATGGAGAAGCAGAACAAGGAGATCGAGGCGCTCGCTGAGCCCAAACTTGGTCATTCCCTGGAGGTAAATCCCGAGGGTGCCGCCCCCGCGGGTGACACGGATCATGTGACCACAACCCCGGGACCTCCCTAAGGACTGAACTCTACAGCCACCAATATGGAGCATCTCCTGTCCACCGGCGTGGTGTGATAGCGGGAGAACGACGCTCAGCCTGGCCATCCGTCCCTCATGGCGGCCATCTTGCTGGTCATGAAAGGAGCGTCCGCACCACCAAACAGTGTGTGAGAATTATTCTCCTGGAGGGAAAAACAACTCCATTCATTCCATAATTCACACAGACATTTCGGGGGGG